AATAGCAGAGTGAAGACTGCTAAAATGTGGGGAGCTTTCTGTTACTGTGATAAGAGAGAAGCTCAAAGAAAAGCTGTTCCAAGAACACATATGGTACAAGAAAAAGTCTGAAAAATAAAGTAGTAGCTTAAAGCAGAGAAAAGTTATGATGATGGCAGTATACATTTCTTGTGGCTAATACGCAGCTTGTCACAGTCCCTAAAAATCACAGCTTAGTAAGTACAAAAACTAGAATCTAATAATGACACTGTGCATTCCAGCCAAAACATTTGAATTTTATTTTCATTTCAATATATGAATACCTTCACTGAAGGCTACAGACTGAGTACAAAAGACCCAGATAAGTTCAGGTATTTTTATTTAAAAAGGAAAAAAAAAAAAATCTATTTTGATGCTTGGATCCAAAAGCAATTGGCGAGAGATGAAAAAACAGACCCACTCAGAGGAATGAAGGAAGAGACCTTAGAGAAAATAAAAAGAGAATGGAGAAAGAAGAGAGAGGGAGAAAAGCAATCCCAAAAGTAGGAAAATGTCTGCAAATTGCATTGCAATGACAACATTGTAATTTGTTCATATTTGGCTTTGATACATGTGAAATTCAGAGCACAGCTAGAGCAAAATGCAGTCTGCTATGAAAAAATTGAAATCTTTAATTTCCACAGAGAAAGGTCTAATTATAGGAAACATATCAAGGTATTGTCTTTTGCATTACATGCAGTCAGAATATATCAACTCTTATTACGATTATTTCATTGGAATGACAACTGCACCCACAGTCCAAGGGATAATTTCCAGAGATTCCATCAGTGCTTCAGAAGATTCAGATTCTAAAACAGTAAGCATCATACACAGGAGAAATGGGACAATATTAAACATACCCTCTCAAACATAAAGTGTTGCCTTCATCCACCAGTAATCTATCTAGCCAAAAAGTAAGACCTATCTAGCATAAGACTTGCATTATCCAAGGCTTTGCAAAAAATCTATCATCTATTCATAAATGCCCCCCCTTTAAATAACTGCATACAGGAGAAATGTCTCGAATTCTAGTAAGGTTCTACTGAGTAGGTTTGCACTTTTGACATGCATGGTCATGAAACTGAAACATCTGACTGACACATATCTAATGTTCTGAGCTTAAAGGAGAGCACAGACTAGTCAGCAACTGAGGAATATGCTTTCCAGATGTGCTCCATTTCATAGGGTTCCATTAAGTGGCACATCTGCAGCTGCACTACACACCTGCACTTCCTCTTGCAGTCTGCAAAATGGGATAATGTTGGCTGACAGACAGCAATCGAGTTGACTAGCTGTTTCTAGCATCTGGGCTCATACAGAAACAGATATTAAAATGCTGCCTTGCAATTAAAAGAGAAAGCCCAAAATGTGATGGGTGCAAGTGTCTCTGAGTGCAGGCCGTTTGAGAAGTATGCACTAAGTCTTTCTAACAATTGGACCCGCTTGAAGTCAGCGCTGTAGCAGTTCCTAATGAGACCAGGGAGCACAAGTTGTGCACATGATGCTTTTCGCTGTGAATTTACAGCTGAAAAGCTAAGCAAGAAAAAACAACAGTCAGATAGACTTGTCTTCTGCAGACTCTATTCTCTGGGAGGTCTGCAAACACAGTATGTAAATAAAAAGAAAATCATAGTCATAAATATTGTCCCTTAGAGTTAGTGTTACCATGGTGCCTGTGCAACTCCAGCCATTCTCTAAGCACTGTATAAACAAAGATGAAGAAGGAAAAACAAGTCCACTACCACAACTTGAATAAGAGACAGCAGATGTCAAAAGAGGAAAATTGAAGGAAACAATGGTATAACATTGGTGAATATGAAGAATAGTGGTCTCGGCATAACACAGCTGCTTACCTAGTGGTAAATTTCTGTCAACACCACAAAAAAGAAACTTTTTAGAAGGGCTTTGAAGGATAGTTTGAAGAAATAAATCATAGCCTAAAAAAATGTGTTAAAAGTTTTTAAGTGGATTATGGTGATTGGCAACTGAAGACAGAAATAAATGTTATAATAATGCACGAGATGTGATAAGTGGGAGACACCAGAGCACCTTGAAAACAAAACCCACAAATATCTTATGTTTAATCTGACAGGTAATGGAGCTAGCTGATGAAGTCAAGGAAAGAAGTGACAGAGGTCAAACTGAGAGCTAAGGAAGTTACCCTTAGAGCAGTAAATTATCATTGACACAAGTGGGTCAAAACTGCATTGCCAAGGCTAGGAGAAAGGTTGCCAGCATAATCAAGAGATACAAAAGGTATGAGAATGTCTGGGAGGGAAGGCTAAGGCTTCTCCTTCAGCTATATTGAACTTCAGCAGGTGCACAAACAGGCCCAAGCAGATAGCAGACAGGCCAAGATTTCCATTTCATCAGGGAAGATGTAGAACACTTCTGTATCTTGTCAGCATCCAGGTGTATGCATTTCCATTCAGAAATCAGATCTTCAAAAGATGAAATTCTGAAATACAGAGGACTAAAAAGAGTGAAGCTTTTGGAGATTATGGATATTAATTAGGACAGTTTTGAGAAGACAGGATGAAGATACAGGAAGTACAAGAAAATTCATTCTACATACTACATAAAAGCCATGACAAAACACTTGGCAAAGTGAATGTCACCTGTTGACCTTTATTATTTCGTCTGTGTGAGCCTCACTATTACTCTGCATGCACACATGCACATGCATTAAAAACCAGAGAGAAATTAGAATCTCAACTAACAGGCTGCTAACACTTGACTGACAAGGGAATCTAGTAACCACTGCAGGGAAAGTCCAAGGGCCTCACCAAACCAAAGACTACAGATAATACACTCTGCTTGTCAATATTAAAACTGTTTTCCAAATAGATTAGTCAAAAAACCACAAAGGAAAAAGAGCCTCAAGTGTCACTTGCCAGTTTCCACATCCTAGATTTCCTATATGGGCTTTACAGAATCTAGAATGGTTTGGGTTGGAAGAGACCTTTAAAGATCATCTAGTCCAAGCCCCTTACAAAGAGAAGGAACATCTTCAACTAGACCAGACTGTTCAAAGTCCTGTCCATCCTGGCCTTGAATGTTTCCAGGTATGGGTCACCTATAGCCTCTGGGCTAAGTCAGTTTCTGGGGGATTAATTCCTCTAGTCAAAATAAGTAAATTTATGCTTACCCTAGAGGACTTCACTATTGTATTTCCTACCATCCAGCATCACTTCTCTCAAATCTTCTTGAAAACTGCAGGGCTGAATGGAAATGCCAGAAGTATCCTGAGATCTTTTGATCCATACAAACCCTGACAAGCACTTCTCTACTAATGTGCTCACCTGAAGAGTCTCAAAGTCCACTCGTTTCCCACACCTCATTGAAGAGCTTTAAAGCCTCCTGAAAAAATAGCCTTTTATGCTAAAGACTAGAATTATATTATAACTTAAAAGGTTTTACCAACCTGCAGACAGGTTCAGTCTTTTTGACCAACTGTTTTCAGTTTTTCTAAATGAATGATGAAATTCATCACACAGATGAAGAGAAGGGGAGAAATACAAGATACAGAAATAATGAAAACAATGTGCTCTTCTTGAGAAGTTCCTAAACTACTGAGTGCATCAGTTGTCAGATAATTAAGATCTCTCAGGAAATTTTGTGGACTTTACATCACAAACCCTATAGAACCTAGCAACGGACAATACAGAAGCTGCTGAAGATGCGATATCATCCCCTGCTGCTTTGTCTTTGCAGGCTGACTTTGCTCCCAGATCTTTTCTTGTATCAGAATAGTCTTGGAAGGAGAGGTATAGCCTACAATCGAAGAGTGACAGGTTATGACTACTTATAGGAGCAGGATTTTTTCAAGTCCATAGGACCAAACAGAACCTGGAACCCTAAAGGGCCTGAACATGTCAGCCAATCTGATAGTAAATTATAATTTATGAAAATTCATGGTGACCAGTCACTGATTTTTTTTTTCTTTTTAGTGTGCTACACTGGTGCTTAAGTAAAGAGAACTCAAGGAACAATTTCACCTGAGACCATGGAGCACATCCACTTTGAATAAATTTCCAAAACACACACAAAGCAAGTAGGTAATAAGGAAAAATCAGCACCGAATTATAAGAGCAAGCCATACTTAGCCAATCTACAAACTAGCTAGCTGGAGAAGGGGAGAGTGGTAGATATAATCCATCTATCTAGATTCTAGTAAGGTTTCTGGAAGCTTAAGAAGTATGGGTTGAAATAACAGACTGCTAGGTAGGCTGAAAATGGGCTGGACTGATGGGTTCAAAGAGTACTGCTGAGTACTGACTGCTCAATGGCTGACAGTCAAAAGTCAGAAAAATTTGAGATTGATACTGAGGTCCATACTGTTCAATAACAGTCCAGCAATAACAAGAAGAATCCAGAATACAAAATAATATTGCCCCTGGGGTGAAATAAACCTGTGCACCTATATATGCTGGGAAGCAGCTGGGTAAGTTTCAGCCCCATTGAAAGGAATCCAAGATCTAGCAAACACCAAGCTGAACATGAGCTATGAATGTTCATTCAGTGACCAAGGCAAACAGAGTACTTGACTATATCAGAAGTGTGGCCAGCAGATCAAGGGGAGTTACTAACTCCCCTCTACAGCATGCTGGGAAAGCAACAGGAATCTGCCAAGTTCCAGGTGGATATGGTTAATTTGAGGACATCCAGAGAAGGGTCACCAAGATGTCACAGCCTAGAGAACATGATTTGTAAGGAGCAATTGATGGAGCTGGGTTTCTGTAGTTCAGCAAAGAGGCTAACGGTTGCTAGAAGGGATACAGTGCTAATGCAGCCACATTCTTCTTGCCAGTAGCAGATGATATTTCAAGCTGTCTTGACCACAATCTGCAGCTTCAAAGGTTCCAACTGGACATCAGGAAAAGCACATCGCAAATTTGTGTCTTAAACTGCTTAATTTATGCCAGAGGATCAACACATTCTCTGGGCAACCCACCTTGCACCCAAAGTGCAGACAGCTAACAATGAACTTTGGCCTGTTGAATCTAATGGCCAGGTAAAAAAATATCTCCAACTGAAATACTGAAAAATTTTAAGAAAACCCCAAAACCAAAAACCAGACACTAAAAGCTCCATTGACATAAGGCCTCCAAAACCCTGTACTGACTTAACCTGAAAACATTTTTGTTTAGGGGGTGACAGGAAAAAGGAGTAGACATTTAAGTAGGGAGCACATCTCCTTTTGTAGATACCTAGTATCCTGTGAAGTTGCCACAAAAAGGGCTTTGCAGGCCTGATCTGTCATTGCATAATGTTTCAAAGCCATACTCTTCATTCTGTGCTTCCCTTCTAGTACAGATCTGTAAGTTTCCAGCTTTCAAAAGGAAAAACCCAAGGCCCTCTATTTGTAGCTACTCTGTATGCCTGAAGTAAAACTGTCGACATCTAAATGCTCATGTAAACAGGTGCATATTTTAGTTCTTTCTCCCATTGGCATAATAAGTATTATTAAGACTAGAGCAGGCGGCAGGTTTCTAAAAGGCTTTAGTTATATCAATGGTAAGTTTGAATGGATTTTTAGTCTGCTGTAGTAAGGCAGTAAAATATAATAGCCTCTTAACTGACACATTGTTATCAGACTTATTATGGCTTTCTTCATGCCTGTCAGTGGATTATGGTAATTTTTTTAGTCACGCCTCTAATCAAAGTAGAAGACTCTGAGCTACTGACAGCTCAGGAGAGATATAACTGCTTACATACTGTCATGAAATTCTAACACAAGCAGAAACTTCAGCATCTCTCTCACCCAACTCTCCTCCTAGTAAAACAAAGCAACTTTTGGAATAGGTTCCTTCTCTATGTCAAGCAAAGGAACAAAGAAACAGAGTCCATTTCCCTCAAATTAACACAGCATTCAGAACAGGACACGGCGTTCTTCTAGGCAGCTGGTGTGGTACAGTTTAGAAATGGTTTGTGATCACTACTATAAACTCACCATAATATCTACCTGTTCAAAACACCTCTGCTTATTTCTGAGCATCTGGTCAAAATAAACCATTAACTGCATAGCAAAAAGTCCTAAGTAAGGCTGAAATACCACTTTCTCATTCAAATAAGCAAGCTGCACTTAACTTTATTCTTTAAAGCACCAAGGAATAGCTTTGTGCAAGCATTATACAGTGACTGAGAATAGCCAGGGCACGCAGCATGTATGAGCAGACATACAACACATGCAATGGATATAATCACACTGCAGTTGGACAGTATCACATGTGACAGGATTTTCCTTTTCCTCATGCTTTGTGGCTTTCTACTAAAGTAAATACAGGTACACAGAAGATCTCAACATTAAAACCCTTACAGAGCATAAACCTTTTGCATTCCAAAACCAGTAGTTCCAATGTAATTTGTACTAAACTTGAGTGGGATAGATTAAAAACTGTGAAAGCTGAATTTATGCAGAGTTATATGGTGTAGGCAAAACACTGCATGAAGGCAGTTCACATCAGTTCTCCAATAAAAGTAAGAAAGTAGAGGAGCTTCCACTTTCCATTCTCTTCAAGACTACCCCATGTGCCAGCTACAGCAATGGTCAGTGACCCAACATATCCATTATCAACATCACTGCAGTCAGTAGTTCTTCACACTGGCTACTGAAGAATGAGATGATACTAGTGCTTTATCACAGCTGATGTGATACACCAACCTAGAAGTAAAAGGATTGACTTAAGAATATAAGCCTGAGATCCCATCTACTAGACTGTCTACTAAACACTAAATCTAATAAATTAGGGGGAAAAAAAAAAAAAAAAAAAAAAAAGAGACAGACAAACCAAGCCAAACAAAAAACCCCCAGACAGCAGACTGGTGGCACATGTAATCTCACCAGCATTCATCACCACAGATAGTACAAGAGAAAATATGAACAAAACAAAACAGCAATCCAGGAAAGTAACATTCCCTGCTGTGGAAGACAAGAACAACATAGTCTTGCTGAAATTAGTAGGAATGTTGTCACACCCTGGATTTCATTCATACACCCTTTGCCTATAAAAAAAGGTCATTAGTATCCTGAAGCTTAATCTGATGGCGAATGACATTCCTTCACTAAAATAATTTCTTTCTTTCTCATGAATGTCTGGGATGACAGAACACTCTGAAGCACAGGAACCAAGTACTATGAAGGTGTCTAAGAAAGAACCAATTCACAAAACATGGCCTTTCCTGAACACGGCACTATCAGTCTGAAGAGAGGCCTTTTACATTTGATTATCTGCTAGCCTTCTACTTCTCCTTTCCCCACTTCTTTGTATTCTACTTGAGTTATAGACTGCTAAAAAGGCTACAATCAAAACCAAGCATGGGCAAGTGAGTTAAAGGATTTAATCTTCACAGAATATAATACAGAGAGGTACTGAAGTTTAAGCACTGCCTGATACTACATTTGCATTATCCACAATGGTACAAGTCATACCCAAAGAACATCTTTATATAGAAAGGCAAAATAATTTTTTTTAAATCCAAATTTGTTTTCTATTATGTGCAAGCTGAGAAGAGTTCAATTTTCCAGAACTGTTCAAATTTCTGGCTACTTGAATGGCCACTGTATTATCAGTCAAGTGCAATAATAAGAACTCCACAGAGCCTCATGAGTCATAGTATTGGATCCAAAGCCAATTGATGTAAAGGTGAAATATTATCTTCTCATTGACTTTAAAGGGTTTTGGCTCAGGTTTATAACAAAAGACACGAAACAAACCATTGCAAAAAAACACTTGAAATAAGCTAAAACACTTCTTAAGATTAAAGACAAATTATACAATACAGAATCTTCAGCACTTACTGCTTATCATTGTAGGAATGAATGCTATTTTCCATAGTTTTTATTCTGCAGTGAATTAAGGTTATCTGCAATAAAGATTTCTGTAAGACATTTCACCTGGCTTTCGCAAATCCTTAATCTTTTCCACCAGTTTTTGTTATAGGCTTCAACTCCATCCATCCTTTTTAACAGCATACTAATTTCAGAAACTACTGCATCAAGCTTTAGCATAAACAAGTCAAAATATAACTTGAGGGCAGAAAACAGTGGAATCTGAAATATTTTTCAAATGAGAGTCACATGGAGTTACCTTTTGTGGTTAGAGAAAGGTCACTACACATAGCACAATGGAGTTCAAATTATATAGGTGCACAAATACCTACTAAAATCCTTCCTTTTTTAGGTCTCAGAATTTACTGTCCTGTCTGGACCCATTATACATTTATCTCAGGCACTATCTTAAGGCACATGTGGTGGGGTGGGGTAAGGCTCTACCTCATTCAGTAACCAAGTTCTAACAGACCAGCACTATACAAAATGAATCCTAACTACTAGGCAAATACTACACAAGCTTTTCTTTTGTTTTTGTTTTTCTTGTAAATAAGAAAACCTAGCCAAATTGGAAGAAACCTTTTCAAAGCTTGTATCAATACTAATTTTTTGTTTAATGCTATAAACTTGCCTCTCAGTATCATATGATAGAAATACATTTACGTTACCGATACCGCAGACCAGTAAGTGCCCGGCAGCTATGGGTGAGATATCAATAGAATAAAATACTGCTCTTCTGAATGAAAGCCATGGTAAATGCCAAGATTGCAAAATACTGCAATCTGAGATTACCAGGGATAATAGTCATGTGCCACACTGTAACACACATTACGCAAGTTCTGCTCTGGCTACCCTGTGCCTTCTCTTAATTACACTTTTCAGCCTGGCACTTCGATTATTTTACATGGATGCAAGCACAACAGGATGCCAGTTTGACTGACAAGTGTACTGCCACTGCACAACAATGCATTAAAATTAGCATTTTAAGTATGCTTACCCTATGACATATTCTCAACCTTCCTAGAGGTAGGCTTCTTGTGGGGGCAACTGCTAATTTAAGGTGCTCAAAGGTTTAGCTGATGGCATAACATATACTTCTTGGTGATATTTCTCACCAGCACAGCAAGGACAACAACAGACTGCAGAGCTCACTCTAAACTGGTAACTGGTAACAGATAACTGGTCAAATGATAACACATCTTTCAAATTCCCTGGAACAGAAACTTATTTCTCCTTTTACTCTGCTACTACCCTATAAGGTTCTGCTTTTATAGCTGGCACTAAGAATAGGCAATATGACTTAAGCTGATTTTGGCCCAATAAAGGAATAAAAGCTAATAAAAGGAATAGAAGCTGAGGGTGAAAGGTATGCAAATTAAATATGGATTCCTTGACATCAACTTTGACTAATATCTTCAGGGGATCTGGGATTTACTCTTAAGAGATTGAGGGTTGACTTTGTTTGGTTTGGGGTGTTGTATGGAGTGGGTGTTCTTTTTGTTTGTTCTATTGGTTTTTTGTATTAAGATTCAGTAACACTGAACGGTCAGCTTTGAAGGTCACTAGATAAGTACATGACACGAGAGTGTTTTCCTTGTACAGTGCACCTAAAATATCATCATCACCATATTCTAGTTCATGGAATTGAATCAATTCTATCAGATTACTGTGTTATGTTCAAATATATGAAGCCCAGTAATGAGCATTTGGTTTATTGTTCACCCTTTTCAGGAAACTGTCTTGTGGGAAATTGACAATCAAAATAAAACACTATGTTATAGCCTGTGGGGAGTGCTTCTGTTCCAAAACCAGCAATAAGTACCATTGTCTTTCATTGTGGAAGTAACCCCACCAACACAGGCTACTGTTGATCAGCAGACAAATACAGAATGAGCCACCTCTATGCCACACAACAGATTCCTGAATATGACTTTTAAAGATGCAGAAGTATCAGGCTACAGATGGTGCTTTAAAAATTATCACTAGGGCAATTTATTGCATCTCACCTCAATCTTTATTGTTCCAATTATGCAACAATATATGCAAATCAGCCACTGAATTTCACAACAGCTATAGTTCTTTTTTACAAAATCCACAGGATCACAGTAATAAAAGTAAATATTAATAATCCACATCATAGTCTCATGAGCCTGCATTACTACCTCTGATCTGGGGATCAGCTT